GCCTCCATAATGGTATGAGCCAATGCCTTATAATAAGTCTCTTATATATGGTAAATATAAACAAATAAATATCATATATAGTTTTAAATATATATATAATCTATTTATGTATGTATTATCTATCTATCTATCTATCTATCTATCTATCTATCTATCTATCATCTGAGAACCCTGACTAATAGTACATTTAGCTACAATACTGCATAGCTATATGCATAGATATGGAAGATGTCCATGACATATTTCTAAGTTAAAAATAATCAGCTAGAGTCTGGCAGGTTTTCTCAGTGGTTAGAGCATTGGCCCTCGGACCAAAGAGTCTCGGGTTCCATTCTGGTCAAGGGCATGTACCTCGGTTGTGGTTCGATCCCCAGCCCTGGTTGGTGTCATGTGGGAGGCAACTAATCAATGTGTCTCTCTCACATCGACGTTTCTCTCTCTCTCTCTCCTTTGCTCCCTCCCACTCTATCTGAAAATCATGGAAAAATATCCTCGGGTGAGGATTAAAATAATAATAATAATCAGCTAGAATATGTTGTGTGTTGAATCACCCCATTTATATAACCATATATAAGTGAAAAGCCTGGAGGGCTGTATACCAAACTCTTAACAAAGGGTATCTCAGGGAGGTGGTATTCCAGAGGACTTTTGCTATCTCATTACTTGAATTTTTCTACCCACAAAGGTCAAGTATTTCTGAGAAAAACAATATTTTCATTCTTGAGAAGAAATTTAAAAGTCAGTAAAATCAAATTTCACACCAAGATGAATGTGAGCAGCAGGGAAATAAGCAATTGCTTCACAAACATGAGAACATGAAATGGCAGTATTTTTTCCTCTCCACCCCTTTCCCATTGCACTCTTCATTTTATTTTATTTATTTTTAGTTTCTTGAGAAGGGCTGGAGAGGGTATGCTTGGTTGCTCATCTTTTCCCTTGGCTCTGAGAGTTTATCCATGCCAACTGAACCGTAAGTGACTAAAAGAATCAACTGCACATCAGAAAACTCGAGGGCCAGAAGGAACCTTAGATAGGGTCTGGTTCAGTGACTTAAAAAAATAAGTTTTTTTCCCCTTTGAGAAACCAAACCCAAGTTAGGGAGAACAGAAACCAGAATTCTTAATCTGCGAACATGTTTTAAAAGCCATTCGTCTGATCTAACCCGATCATTTTGCAGAAGGATCTCAAGTTTTCTGCTCGTGACGAACTGAACCACTCATCGTTGAGTCTACACAGGGACTTGGAGTGCTTCTTTTCTGGGCGTTCAGAGGCCGAGTAGCTCCTGAATTAGGCAATGGGATCAGGTGTCACTGGACAGGGTCTCTGTGTCCTGTGCAGGTGAGAGATGCCTCACGTTCCTTTTCCTGGCAGCTCAAGACCTTTAAAAAAAATTATTGAAACTGGCATCCATTCTTCCCAGGGATCCAGGGTGTTATACAGTTCTCTGCTCCCAGGAGTGGGTCAGGGTTAAGGGACACAAGAAAGAATAGCTGGGGAAAATAACTCAGTGGCAAGGCAAGGAGCTCATAGAATTAGGATTGGGATTAGGTTTGAAATCGAGAATTAAATTTTACAGATATTAAGATTAGGATTAATATTGAGGCTAGACTTTGGATTGGATATGGGGGATAATACCACGTTAGAATGAACTATAATGATGAAAGGATTGGAAGTGGGAATTAGAGAGTTGTGGGGTTAAGGGCTAGAATCAGAGTTAGAGGATCATCTACTCTCAGTTTTCTACAAGTTCTTCCTTTTGGGTTTTATCTTCTAGGGCTAAAGTCTTTGGACTCAGTATTACTAAGAAAGCAATCCTTGTGAACCTGACCTTGAGTCACACCCATACTACCTCATACTACCCATACTACCTCAGTTGCTACTTTAAGGGCTCTGGTTGCTTAAGCATTAATATTATCTTTTACTAGACTCTACTGAGCATGTACATGGCTCCCTTTAGTGATTGCAAACTACCTCCAAGAATCACATCACAGGTTTATCCGGAATGTAATTCACACCAGAGAATAGTCACAACAATTGACAGAAGCACTTCAGCCAATTACCCCACACTTTGGTTCCCTAATTTGATGATGCTGACATTTTATGTCATTTCTGAGTTTTTGACCAACTAAATGGGCATGTTATAGCAATTGGTTCAAATGCTCTTCAGATAGACACTTTGGGAACTAAGCGTGAAAAGTTAGTTGCTACAAACATCATATGATGAAGCAGATGAACACTGGGTCTCCTTGAATACAACTACAGTGTGGTGAAAAAGCTCACAGGGAGTTTGTCTATTAGGGAAGTGGATGGTGTTGGAGACATTCTCCCAGGATAGTCTGATAAGAATGCCAATTCATATATGAGTTTCTCATCGATTAAGAAACTATTGTGCCTTTTTATTCATTCAACAAGTTTATTTATTTATTTATTAAAAAAAATTTTTTTTTGGTGCGTGCCCCTAGCGGGAACCGAACCCCAGACTCTCTGGTCCGTAGGCCGACGCTCCAACCACTGAGCCAAACCAGCCAGGGCTTAACAAATTTATTGAATGCCTTACCAAATGTGCCCTGGACATTGTGTATATAGCAGTGAACAAAACAGACATGATCTTTGGAGAGGAGACACACAAATAAATATTTAATTATAAACTGTGATAGGTGCTACAAAGAAAAAGGGTACTACAGAAGATAAATATGGGACAACATAATTTTAATTGAGGCCAGTGGGGGTGGTCAGTGAAGACTTCTTTGAGAGAGTGCCATTTAAATTTGGCCTGAAATAGTTTAAGTAGTAGTTACTTTGTTGGAAAGTTGTTTTTTTTTTTTAATCCTCACCTGAGGACATTTTTTCCCATTTATCTTTAGATAGAGTGGAGGGGAGGGAGAGAGGGGGAGAGAGAGACAAAGACAAAGAGAGAGAGAGAGAGAGAGAGAGAGAGAGAGAGAAATATCAATGTGAGACACATTGACTGGTTGTCTCCCACATGACCCTGTCCAGGGCTGGGGACAAATGGCAACTGAGTTATGTTCCCTTGGCTGGAACTGAACCCTTGAGTACTTGGTCCACAGGATGATGCTCTAACCACTGAGCCAAACTGGCCAGGTGGATAGTTCTTTTAAAAAATTAATTTTGTTAATCCTCACCAGAGGACACTTTCCATTGATTTTTCGAGAGAGTGAAAGGGAGGGGGGGGGGGAGAGAGAGAGAGAGAGAGAGAGAGAGAGAGATTGGTTGCCTCCCATTTTGGGACTGGGAACTGAACTGGAGACCTTTTGGTGTGAGGGATGACACTCTAACCACTGAGCAATCTGCCAGGGCCATTGGGGAATTCTTGACTGTGCCCATTGTTCTTTATGCTCTGAATTTCAGGCTGTAATTTGTTCCTTTTTGGTGTTAGTCACCTTTTGAAATCTTTGCTAAGGACATAACTGATCTTCTTGGAGAACTGCAGGCTACAAGATGGGCCTCTGGCAGCCACATTTGCACTACAAAACAGAGGTTTGACAACATAGACCAATTAGGATTCATAGATTCGAATTAATCTCTGTTGGTTCTTGAAGTGAGGCTAGGTACACTTGGGCAGTCATCTTTTACTATGTTTCTAGAGAAGTAGTGAAAGCAAGTCTGAATGAAGCAAGAATGACGCAGCTCTGAAGAGATAAGTAGCTATGGAAAAACATGTGACCAGAGAGAAAGATAATGAAGGAATAGCTACTTGGTTTCCTGTTGATATTTTAAGATCCTTGTTCTAGTCCTTCATGAGATCTTGTTGCTTTCTGTGCTCCTGGGTACTAGAAGATTATTTCTTTCAACAATTTTTATTTGCACGAAAGTTTCGGTGGGTTTGTTACTTACAGACAAAAGAGCCTTGACTAAGAGTGGCTTTTATCAGATTCGCTCTCCAGCTCAGCAAACATGGATTGGTTTGCTTCAATCTGAGAGATTTGTGGACGTCACAAGTCCACAGAGAATGAATAGATAGTATATCCAGCAATAAAATAACATTTGGTAATAAAATTGATCTGGTCTCCCCACCAGGTCAGATTACACAGAAGCCTTCCTTCCTGGAAGTATCAAGGACTTTCGAAGTTCACCCGTTCACCCATAAGGGCCTCAGCTGTGGGTCAGCTCTCCAGAAGGTCTGGTGGAAGTTTCCTCCGTGGTGAAATTAATCACCAACAATCACTTTCTGATTACATTTGGCTGGAGCTCAGAATGAGTTCAGAATCCAAGACACGGAGAGCTAAAGGACTCATTTTTTAGTGGTTCCAACTTCTTTGGTCACTCATCCATTTCCATCACTGATTCGGTCAGAGCTCCCCTTCAAAATCCAAGCATGTCCACTCTAGGAGGAAAAGAGGTTCTTCTAGCCTAGGCTTAGCGAGTGGACTTGCGTCTGAGGCTGGGGGGTGCCAGAGCGGAGGAAAAGGGGCATGGAATCAGATCTGGACACTACCCTCCCGCCTCCCGCCCTTGAAGGGTTGGAGGAGGGGAGGAACATCTCCCATTAAGTTCATCACTGCCAAGAGACCAGTTCCTCGAGTGAAACTGGGAGAGTGGGTCGGGTGTGAGGGGCCTGGGAAGGAAGAGAGATTTCAAGGGGGTTGGCAGTCTGTGCAGAAATACTTCCTAGGATCGCCCGGAACCGTGAGCAGCCGCTTCAGGAACCTCTGTGGCAGCGGAAGACACCGACTTTCCCTGGAAAACCGAGACCCAGACCCACTTCCGGGTTTGGAAGCACTCCCTCCAGGCCCCTCCCCGTACCCAGTTACCGGGTCTCTGAGCACATGCGCAGCGCTCGGCCACTGCTCTGGGACTGGCCCAACTTACCCTAAACAACTAATCTGCTCCTCCCCCTCCCACTTGGGGCATACCATTCACGTCTGGGGGGAGGCGACGCGCCCCCAAGTACTCAGGAGTCGGCTCCCCTTTCCTCATACGTGGAGGGTGGGGGGAGGTAAATTTGCCTCAGATTTTAAAAGTCCCAAGAGTACGGAAGCCTCAGGCCCGACGCCGAGTGATAGCCTGCCACTCTAGGTTCGCTCATAGCCCCATACTACTCCTTTGAGGTGCTGAACAAAGTGGCACACCCGGATCCCAGCTGATCAGCTGCTTGGCTTTGGCTGTGGCTCCCCCGGGCGAGACCATTGTGACTTCTTGGGAGGGGCGCGTGAGGAGGGGAGGGGGCGGAGCGGCCATTGTCCGGTCAGAGCAACCTTCGGGGGAGGGGAGAGCGAGCGGGGCCTGGAGCTTCACTGCGGCCGCTGCTACGCCAGAGCTGGCGGGGCCCTCAGGTCCTTCCCAGCGCCGCCGTACCGGACATCGCTCTGGCTGGGAGCGGCGGTGGGAGCTGCCGACGGCGCCCGGTCTTCCCTTCTCCCCCCCCCCCGTGGTCCTCGGTTCACCCGCACGCCCCTCCTCCTCAGCTCCCCTCCCACTCCTCTCCGCGCCTCCCCCTGCCCCCCCGTCTCTGCAGGCCTAGTGGTGCGGCCCGCCTCCAGCTGACCGGCCTGGAATCCCGGCTCGGAGCCCCGGACTCGCGCCCGCCCGCGCGCCTGCTCCCTCCCCCTTCCCCCGCCCCGAGCCCCCCGCCGTCGCCGCCGCCTCCTTCGTGCGGGGCCCAGGCCCAGCCGCCGCCACCGCCGCCGAGCTCCGCCGCCTCCGCCGCCGAGCACCATGGGAGACGCCGGGAGCGAGCGCAGCAAAGCGCCCAGCCTGCCGCCTCGCTGTCCCTGCGGCTTCTGGGGGTAAGTGCCCGACCGGGTGGGGGCAGGGGCGCGGGCGCGGGGGCATCCTAGGCGGGCCTCGGGGCCCGGGGAGGCCCGAACCCCGGGGACTGGGCTCAAGCCGGGCCTACCGGGAGGAGGCAGAGGCCGAGTCCCGGGGAGGGGTGCCGAGTGGGGAGTGGGGGTGGGCAGAGAAGGCACTGCCTGGGGTGCTCTGCCAGCCTCTGGGACTCTTCTGCCCGAGGCTCGGGCCGACTGGGAAGGCCCGGGCCACGGGTTTGGGGGCAGGGCACCGGGGAGGGATGTGGGCGCGGCGTTGGTACCTATGGTGGAGCTGGGGTGCCCCCTCTTCTTGGCATGTGGAGGCCAGCCCTTCGTTCCCCCCTCCTTGGTATGAGTTGGTGCCCAGGCTCCTGGAGGGTATTTCCTCTGACTTTTTCACCTCCCCTCCTCCCTGTCCCCCGGAGACTTGCATCATCACTTCCTAAATTACATGTATCCCAGTGCCCCATTTGCTTTTAAGAAGCTGCTCATATGTCACCATTTTTAAAAATCAAGACCAGAATCCAGGCTGAGGGAAAGTTATAAGACAGTTGGAGCCTCACCTTTATTAAAACACGTTTCAGAATATCTGCAAAATTTCCTTGTCAAAAAAACAAAACAAAACCCCCCAAACCCCACAGAAAACTCAAGCGAGCCTGGCTTGGGAACGTGAGAGCCGATTTGTTTAATTGGCTCAAATTCTTTTGTCTCCTCATTTTTTTTTTTTAAATGATAAAAATATTGGCATTGACCATCTTATGTTATTACTTGGCTCTTCTGTTAGAATTGAAAAATATGAAGTGGGAAAGTTGAAAATTGGAACACTTGAGTTTAATAGATTGCCACCCCTCTTACCTAACAGGTGCCTTCATAGTACCTGATGACTCTAGTTCTATTGTAAGGGAACTGGAGACTTCCAAGGCCAACTCTTATGATTGAGACCTTTTTATCTTTTTGTTTTATTTTCCAAAGACTCTGTATTTGGAGGTGCATAGAGACAGTAAGGAAATGATTATTTCTGGTGAGGACATCTTGGGAAGATGTATTAAAGTATTTTATCTTTCCTATCTTTTAGAAATTAGGAGTGGTTAAGGTAGAAATTAAGGCAATGATTTTGAGAGGGCAGAGAAGATTAGGAAGCGTATCTTAATGTAGATTTCTGTGTAATTTGTCAGATCTAAGGGTTATGATGAAGAAATAGTCTCATTTTCTCATCTTTCTGCCTTTTATAAAAATTTCCCAGTTGGAAGGACATTAGTAAAAAATAAGTTGTGACATTACCAAAAGTTCTGAAGATGTGAAAATATTTTATGTTTTATAGTCTTCCCTTCTTTCTGATTTGAAAATAAGAATTCGGTTATCTATTAAGTACTATCTTGGACAGTCTAACTCCCACAAGAATCTTATGAAATCTTATCTCTTTATTTATAGATGGGGAAACAGGCTTAGAGAGGGTGGATAACTTGCCCCTTGTATACAGGGAATTTAGGGTTGAGTTGGTGAACTCTTTAGAGTGCTTACTACCATGATGTTTATGACATCAGTCTGCAGCCCTGGAAAAATCTGATGTCACGAGCCTCAGATTGTAACTCATTGTAAGAAGACATGTGGCTCAAAGAAAGTAGCTGCCAATGGCAACGAATGCCCAGGATATATCAGAGCTCTGTTTCCTGGCAACATGTTTATGTCCTTGGGACTATTGTCATGAGTGGAACTCTTATTGAAAGACTTATATCAAGATTTAGAAATTAAGGGATTGGATGAGCTTTTTACCTTCAGCCAACAAAGTTCTCAGTGATGCCAAGAGTTTGATAGTATCAAAGAGGGATAGTTAGACTGATGCTATTCTTGACCTATATGCAACCAGAGCTTCTTTTTTGATACTTTCAGTCTGGCACTTTTTATGAACTGCAATTTGTCTGACAGGAGTAGTGATCACAAAACTAATATTTTTATGGTGAAAAGGGGTGTTCTTTTTAATATGTCACGTTTTAACCTTGTCTAAAGGTGTTTGTAGGCACCTGTGTAGTTTGCATTTTGTACCAAAGTATAATGAAATTGCTGCGTCGTTTCCATCGTTTCTTAACTGACTTTGAACATGTTTCCTTTATTGCATGGATGACATTCATATTATGTTCATTAAATAACCTTAGTGTATTTTCAGAAAATTTTGAGTGCCTCTTATAATGACAAGGGGTACTCTCCCCATCCTCTGGGAGCAGGGGGCATGGAGAAGTAAAGTGACAGTTACAGTACAATGTGTTAGGATTGGTACAAGTTATGTGGGAGGTAGAGGAAGGTAGCCTGGAGGAGGTGACACTAGCGTCGTCCTGTAAGAGAGAAGAGAGATAGGTAGGGAGAAGAGTGTTTCAGTCAGAGGGGAATAGCATGGGTGAAGGCCTGGATGTGTGAGAGAGTACTGCACATTTGAAGAACTGAAAGTTTATTGGGGTCGACTTTGAAGGGGGATTGCCTGAAGATGAGGCTTAGATGGTGAGAGCAATTGATAATGCAGGTCCCAAAGGTAATGCTTAGGACTTTGGACTTTTATCCTGAGTGCTTTTATCCTTGGGAGCTATTGCAGAACCTTGAGGGGGTAGTGATGTGATTTCCTTTAATGTGAAAGATTACTGGATCATCTTGAGAGTGGCCTGAGTGTGTGGGTATGGTTGTGTGAGTCTCTATGAATATGATGTACGATGTGTGTTTGTGGGTGTTGCCAGACATAACAGAAGACTTAGGAGGAGTAATACAGGCCAGTGATGAGAGTGGCCAGGGAGAATGGAGAGAAATAGATAGATGTGAAAGCCATTCAGGAGGTATCTTTTGCCTTTTCCTTTCATGAAAATGAAGGTACATCTGAAAACTTAGTCAGCATTGCATTCTGTGGGAACTGTAGGTCTGTAAAGTCAGCTACCCAGGGCCCACACCCAGCCCTTTGCAGAGAAGCCTCAGCAGAATGTTCTGGCACCAGCAGACTAAAGGCATTTCCTTTAGGATTGCTTTTTTCTCCAGTGACTTAGGCTGCAGGGCTTGCTGTCCAGCACTGTTCAGTCAGGACACCAATCAGTGGAGTTTGGTTAAATAGGAGAGCTTTGAGGTCTTTTTGTGGGAGCACAGTTAGAAAGGAGAATGCCAAGAGGAGCATATGATGCAAATGTGTTAGTGCTTAGAACATAGAAAGTTTATAGTTCTCTCCCTCTTGGTTTATATTGTGTGCAGGTAATTTTCGAACTATTTTATTTTTTAAATTAATTAACTTTTGTTACAGATGTTTCTCCTATTTTTGAACTATTTTATAGAGAGACCATCTTTCTGTTGGGAAATTTTGTTACCTTGGAAATTGTTGAAGACTTCCTGTTTATAAAACTTGGAAGTTCTTTTTTAATTTTTTCCTTTAATCCTCACCCAGGGACATTTTTCCTTTTTTTTTTGTTTAGATAGAGTGGGAGGGAGGGAGACAGAGAGAATCATCGATGTGAAATTGACACATTGAGTGGTTGCTAACAGCAGGACCCTGGGGACCAACCGCAACCGAGGTACGTCCCCTTAGCGGGAACCAAACCTGGGTCTCTCTGGACTGCAGGCCAACGCTCTAACCGCTGAGCCAAACCGGCCAGGGCAATTGCAATGTAATTTTATGAAAACTTTAGGAAGTACTATTTCTTCCATAAATAAGGTTAGAGTAGACATAAATGTTCAGTCTGGTATTTAGGGAATAATGAAATATTTAAATAGGGGGTTTATTGGGTATACTATTGTTTCGATATAAAAAGAAAAGCTTTTCTTTCTAATGAATCAAGTCATGAAAGAAATATTAAAGCAATGTGTATTCTTTTTCTTTATTGATTTTAGAGAGAGAGGAAGGGAGAGGGAGAGAGAGAGATAAGAAACATCTGTGAGAGAGAACATCCATTGGCCACCTCCTCCTTGTCCCCCACTGGGGATCCGCCCACAACCTGGGCATGTGCCCTGACCAGGAGTTAAACCGGCGACCCTTTGGTACATGGGTTGATGCTCAACCACTGAGCCACACTGGCTGGGCAAAGCAGTATATTCTTTAGGGAAATAAATTTTATTGGTGTTTCACCTTTGTGATATCTTCTGTTGAAGCAATTATTTTACTTACCCACTAGATCTTCTAGATAATAGATGTATTTTATTTACTTTTTTGAATACAGCATTGCTTTTTATTTCATTTTTTCCATCATCATTTATTCACTCTATGCCCTCTTCCAGCCCCCCCCCCACCCCCTGCAATCACCACAA